AGTTTTACTTAAGTAACCCACCCGACCCCCTTGCCGTAATGTTAATTAATTAATTAAAATTAATGAATTAAACAAACATTAAAGTTTACACCTTAGCGCCATAGGGCCATAGTGCCATAGCGCCATAGCGCCATAGCGACTTAGTTCCTTAGCGGCAGGCAACCCCCATAACCATCCCAATAGTGCACTCTGCACTAAAAATACTTGTTGATGGAGGGGGGAAAATGGCATGAAATGTAGAGTGATTAGCTTCTGAAGAAACCGCTGTGTGTGGAGATCCGAGGAAAGGTCAACGTTCGAAACCAAGAAACCTTGATAATCTCTTGTCGAAACGTAATCGAGTTTTCCCAAACTCGAGACAGCGATTAAAATTTACTTCAGTCAAATTCCAGTTGATAATCAATTGGCATCTTAGAAAGAAATATTTTGTAAGTTGTAGACCAACACTGGAGGTGCACAGAAGAAAACAGAAGGGACTAATTAACTGGGCTGGAAATCTAGGATTGAAGTGCGATAATCTTGGATTGAAGGGTGAAGACTTGCAGCAGACGAGGGGGAATAACGAGAAATACGTTATCGAGACATAGCAACGAAGGATATAGGTTACAGGTAGAGCAGGTAATGGAGGGGAAAAAACTGTATCCGTCGTGAACGAATCAAATTTTTGTCTATAGTTACAATTTCAGGAAATCAGGAGAGGTTTAAATTTTCATATCTGCCTCTCTGAAAGAAGTAAAAACGAAAAGAAAAAAACAAACAAATAAATAAAAAAAATCCCAGTGCATTGTCAGTGGGAAATATGCTAAGAAACGAATGGAAAGCAAATTCAGATTGGGTAATTTCTGGCGTATTCGACAGTCTTTGTATTTATTTGGGATTGAATTACCTACCGATTACATCGAGTGCTGACAGATAGTATATTAAATATTAAATTTCATAAAAAAATATTTCTCATCGAGTTTTGTTCCCGTTTTCTTTTCCCTTTACCAAGAGAATATCTAACATTTTGGGTCATGTTACTATTACGATATCGCTCTGACAGATCTGGCTAGTCTACACAATATCCAGGGCCGTCTGTAGTTCGAATTGATAGCTTACCTATTAAATTCGCCATTTTTCTTTTAAACAAAGTATTGTTAGAAATCAGACCAAGTATTTGACTAGTTATAAATCTTTACCTTGATCTCGAGCTTTCCAAAAACTTCCACGAAACAATAAGATCAACAGTCCTCTCTTAAAGGTTCGCGTTGCTACTAAGATATCAGGACTGTTCGCTTGAAATTAGTAACTGCGAAAATTTAAAAGAAATATGCGGCATAGGCAAGCCTCCGTTATCCTACGTGACACTGATATATTACCTTGTTGATAATTACGCCTGTGATGCGAGATATGGGGAAATATTGTCTGACGTTACCGACATGTTCTTTGAAATTAAATCACAATTGCTCTATTTCAATGCGGAAGCGTATGAGAAAAAGAAAATTAAAAAGGCTATAACTAAAAATTGAACCTGGAATTAAGACGGAATTTTGTCTTAAAATGAAATTTTAATTGTCCTGTTCCGACATACAAATTATTACTAAATCACGTCGGTGAATTCCCAATTTATGGTTTTATCTACCTTTAAGTTGTCTGTGAAATTGCTTTGATTTAACCATTGACAAGTTTAGCTTATTGAATTAGATCAAAAGGAAAAAAAAAATGAATTGTCTTAAAGAAAGCCGGTCAAACGTAATTGGAATTTCAACTTCAAGTTCAACTTCACTTTATTTTGCACTTACATTTTGAAATTACAATATTAGCATAAAAACCGGTTGATTGGAAATGAATTTTGCCGGTGTTTTTTAAATTTACGATGAGATAACGAGACTTTGAAATAAGCCGCCTAGTCCACCACAATTCATAAATCAGTCCATTTGCCTAAATTTAACACCTTAATTGTCTGTCGGGCCCTGATAGATCTAAAATTACAGCATAAGGAATAAGACATAGAAAGATATGCGTCGCTTCATTACATTTTCTCAACTTAAACTCTTCGTGATGGGCCGATAAAAACAAAACTCAGTCCACGAACATGTAGAATGATGAAGTAGCGTTTAAGCAATGGTCAAATGGGGTTGAGCTCGTTTCAAATTTAAATGTCAAACATGTTATGAAAACGGCAAAACTTTAATTTCGTTAATGTATTTATCGTTGAAGTTGCTCACTTGTTAACCAAAAACCCCTGATCATGATCCAAAATTTCCAAAGATTTCAAAACAATATGTAAGAAGAAAGCAAGAAAATGAAAGAAAACTGCAACGAGATTAAGAAGCCCATTCTTCTTCCGCTACTTGGAGATTGAAGCAGTGAGTCCATTGTTACTTCTGGGGGCGGAAATTATTAGCAAGAGTACAAAAACAACAATATGAAACACAATGCATTTTTTTAATATATACGGTCATGAGCAAGCAACATGAAATACGTGCAATGAAAAACGTGTACTAAAATTTCTTTATTTTTTTTCTTGTAATAACTATATAATGAACTCACATAATGTGTTACATTTGAATTTGAGGATGATAGCATGGAGCCGTCGAAACGTCATTCTTTAATATCGCTGCTTTTTATTCTAAATTTTTTTCTTGTGCTAAATGATATAGATGTGGCCATTGTAGCCCGTTATAATTGGAATAATCTTCTCGATTTAATCCATACAGGGAAGCACATG